GAGTCTATGAGTCTATGAGTCTATGAACCCCTGGCCTGCTGTGAGTGTTCCCTTTGGCTGGTGAACTCTGCCTCAGCTCCTGCTCTCTCCCTTTTCCTCCCCCCTCAGGCTGGCTCACTACTGTCAGCTCCATGATGTTCAGACCCTGGCCATGCTCTGCAGTGTGTTTGAGGCGCAGTCCAGGCTGCAGGGGTGCGTGAGTTCCTCGGGACCCTTCCCTCAGCGCTCCTCCAACGTGTTCTCCCACAGCCGATACGTATGCACAGCCATTTCTTTCCAACTGCTTTTCTTGAAAGTCTGGAATAGCTTTGGTTCGTGTGTGACACAACTTCCTCTTGTTTCCACCCAACAGCCCAGCTTTACGTCTTCAGGCTCCTGTTCCAGCATGTCAGACCCTGGACTCAACGCTGGAGGCTGGAACATAGGTATGGAGAGGCAGGGGAATGGACAGAGAGAGGAAATGACTTTATTTGCATAAGCACCCTCGGCATTAAATGGCTATCTGTGGTGGTGATGGTGGTAAAGAATTGTAAGTGGTTGTGGAGCTGAGAAGCAAAGAGCAAATTTCCATGGTTTGTTGGTGGGTCAGGTACCATGGCTGGAAATGAGCCATGTGCCATCTGCCCTTGTTAATGGTTTGATGTTGATGTTTCTTCCGACTTGTCCATCTTTCCCTAGTGTGTTCTGTCGAACTGTGCACTGGTGGAATGAGTCTCCCTGCAAACTTCACCCTGATGTGCACAAGGACTCCAGTTCACTGTCAGCCCGCTGGGTGGGAGCTCACACCGGAGCCAAAACCAGCTGTGTCTATGGCAGTCTCTCTCCCCATGGCAGATGGGTGGTGGGACAGACCACTCAGGATGACCCTGTTACTAGATAACATGTCTCTCTGATCTTGGACTACAAGGAACCGAGGCAGCTTGCTTCATCTAATAGAGCAAGCTTTCCCCAAACCCCATTCAGCTTTCAAGGACTTGATTCTAAATGCCCGTCCCATCCCTTCTATTTCCCCGGGTATTTGTGTCCCAAGATAAGTAGGTGGCTGTGGCCCGTGATAGTTTGCTCCTCTCCTGGCTTGGCAGACGCTCCAGGTGACACTGTCTTGTTGCTGTGCTGGTCACGTGGGGTGATGTAGGATCATTGCTGCCAGGGCACTTGTCCAGTTTGAGGCCAGTCATTCTGTGCACCACAGCCATTGTGAGTTAGGACACTTCAGATATTTGCTGGAGGGGCTTTGACCAGGGACTTCCTGTTTTCTCTCTACTCCAGAGTTGTGGGAGAGGCACTCACTCCTTTACTTTGTGATGGCCTAGCTAGAATAGTGGCAGTTGGGAAGTCTGGAGTGTCAGTGGCAGCTCTTACAAGTGACACAAATACTTGGGATCCTACAGGCATTTCCTACCAAGTTAACGCTTTTCAGAAAAGTCTGAATTCAGGGCTGTCTTGTGTCCCCAGGGTCCAGTGTAATGCCATTTGCATGATGTTTGTCTCACAGTGGCCTACCTGGCTGAGCACAATATTGGGCCCAAGCAACAGCAAACCTGTAATCGCTCAGTGCAGTTTGCAGCTATCTTTGGAACAGGGACGGGAGCAGAAGCAACGACAACCCCATTAATGTCGGTTGCCACTCTTCTCCCTGCACCCAGGGGTCATGCGCTTCTCTGAAAGATTTCCCCTGTGAGGCTCCTTTTCATACCAGCATCCTCACAGAGGAACAAGAATCCTCCCCTCCCCCAGCCCAAGGTGTGGAAGCCCTGACACCAGCACGCTCCCAGCCACTGGGAATGGAACTGTACTGACGCTAACTTTCCTACCAGCACCGACCTGTGCAATCTGCGTGTTTTCATATGGGGCGGAAGACCAGGTGCAGCCTTCTGAATCCAGATTTTCTGCGTCCTGGGAGCCTTCTCCCCATGCAGTCATTGCATGGCCCCTCTGCTGGGGAGCTGGAGGGACGATCTCAAGAGGCTGATGGCAAATGAAGGGGTTGGCTCTTGGCTCCCTACGATGTATGAGTGTTTGTAATGGTGTAGACCAGGGATTCTCAGACTTTTTTTTTTTCTGAGGCCCCTCCCAACGTGCTATAAAACTTCACGACCCACCTGTGCCACAATAACTGGTTTTCTGCATATAAAAGCCAGGGCTGGTGTTAAGGGATAGTAAGCAGGGCAATTGTCCGGGGTCCCACATCACAGGGGGCACCGTGAAGCTAAGTTGCTCAGGCTTCTGCTTCAGCCCCAGGTGGTGGGGCTCAGGGCCCTGGACTTCAGCCCCATGCAGTGGGGCTTCGGCTTTCTGCCCTAGGCCTCAGTGAGTCTAACACTGGTCCTGCTTGGTGGACCCCTGAAACTTGCTCACGGCCCCCCGGGGCACCCCCTGGTTGAGAACTACTGGTGTAGAAGACAATACTAACACATTCAAGGGTGGAAGGGGGGGGGGAGAGAGCACGTAGCCTCACATGCTTCCATCTAACTTTCACATCTCCTTCCTGAGCCTTTCGCACATCACATTGCCCCATTCACAGCCCACTCATCACTGCATCTCGGGGCACACTAACCATCTTTTGACTTGTGCAGCAAGCAAAGAGACAGAGCACACATTCACCCCCTGGTGCGAGTCTTCGCCTGACGACCTCCGCTACGGAAACCTGACGTATGCCGACCACCGGGAGCGCGAGAGAGATCAACATGACAAGAACAAAAGGTAGCACTCAGCAACACCCGTTTGTGCAGTTTCTGGGCAGTTCTCAGAATCAGCTGGAAGGCTATCTAGCTAGCTGTTCTGTGGTGGCATTACAGCTAATCAAGGGAGAGTTGGCAAGCCCTTAGCCCAAACTTTCACTCAGTTAGTGGCCTTGAAAGCTTAATGCTCCAAACTGTGGAGATTAATGGAAGGAGGAGGCACACATCAGAGGCTTAGGGGGGCTCTGGGTGATCGCTACTTCCCACCACCCAACACAGATGTAATGAGGTTGAGTGGTGTCCGCAAAAGAGAAACTAAACAACTAATTATTCCTCAAGAAAGGTTTTTAATGACTTATGACTATAAAGGCAACACAGACAGAATGTGCCTAATGACTTTACGTGTACTGTAACCATCCCCAACCAACACAAATTCATATGCAATGCTGATACATTAATCAACTATAGTTTACTAATTTTAACCTACCTATTAACTTATTTAACAACTTATAAACTTTTACTGACTTTTATGATAAACTTGATGGTAACTTATACTGGAGACAGGCACAGTGACTTGCAAAACTACTATGATTTATAACAGGGGGTCTCAAACACGCGGCCCGCGGGGCTCTTGTGTGTGGCCCGCCAAGCTCCCCGCACGCCCCCCCTCCCCCCCCCGCCCCTCTGCCTACCTGTGGGATTGCCTCCTGATGCTGCAAGCGCCACGCTGCTCTCTGAAGCAGCCGGCAGCACGCCCCTTCGGGCCGGGGGGAGGGGAGGGGGGGAGGAAGGAGGCAGGAGGCAGAGGGCTCCAGCATTGCCTCCTGCCAGGCACCGCCTCCCACAGCTCCCATTGGCCGGAAACAGGGAACGACGGCCAATGGAAGCTTCGTGGGAGGTACCTAGAAGAGCGGCAAGAGCTGCACAAGCAGGAAAGCCTGAGCCCCTCCCCCTCCCCCAGGGGCTGCAGGGACACGGTTCCAGCTGCTTCCTGGAATGGAGCAGCATGGAGCCAGGGCCAAGGCAGGCAGGGAGTCTGCCCTGGCCCCAGTGAGCGCCGCTGCCCCCCCAGAGCCGCTGTAGGTAAGCGGCACCAGGCTGGAGCTCACACCCTGAACCCCTCCTGCACCCCCTACTCCCTGCCCTGAGCCCCCTGCCACATCCCACACCCCAACTCCCTGCCCTGAGCCCCCTGCCACATCTTGCATCCCCAACTCCCTGCCCCAGTCCTGATCCCCCTCCCACTCCCCAAATCCCTTGATCCTAGCCCGGAGCACCCTCCTGCACCCAACTCCTTGCCCTGAGCCACCTGCTGCACCCTGCACCCCGACCCCCTGCCGCACCAACTCCCTGCCCTGAGCATCCTGCACACCTCCTGCACCTCAACTCCCTGCCCTCAGCCCCCGCTGCACCCTGCACCCTTTCTGCACCCCCTGGGGGCAGCGCTGGGGTGGAGACTTCAGGGAAGGGATTGGAATGGGGCAGGGAAGGGTTGGGAAGAGGTGGGGCAGGGGTGGGGCCTAACTGGAAGGGGTGGAGTGGGGGCGGGGCCAGAGGCAGCAGGGGGGTGGTTCAGTGATGCAGCCCTCGGGCCAATGCACTAGTCCTAATGCGGCCCTTGGGGTCATCTGAGTTTGAGACCCCTGATTTATAACCTACTAACTTTACCAATGCTGTACCTGTTTCCAGCAAGGCACAAAACATATACAGTTACTATATATTGATTAACTATTGACTATTACTATTTTTAAACAACTTAGACTTAACCTATAGTATTAATACAGACTTAAGATTAACCAGCTCAAGCATAACCAGACCTTTTTAAAATCTTACCCTGCCTTCGTCCAAAGATGATACATTACCTTCAGTTGACCATTTCCTGCGCTGGCCAGGCACAGATAGCACTGCTCTACAGCCAAAATGCTTCTGAAATAAGTGTAGTCAAACTTTACTAATTCTGGGTCACTGAGAACGAAAATGATGCTTAAAATTATTGATTAGCTCTAGTTTTCAAGATATGCTGTTGGGTCAGTATATACGACCCTTGACTTGGGAATGGCGGAGGATAAGTGAGTTATAAAGGGAAGGGATCTCAATTTAAACCAGAAATGACTAAAATACATCTTTGACTGGATCTATGAATAAATCTGTGACTGGGTTTGGACAGTACTTGCTTTTTAGGCAAAACAATGAATGATGCAATCTGAAGCTGGTATTGCGTCGTACATGATATGAATTGCATCATGTTATTCCTAGAAGTCATGGATGATGCAATCATAACGAAGCTTACATCACTCTGCTGAACAAATTGCCCTATATCAGCTCTAGAAATCATACAGTGTTGTGCTTTCTTATTTGTCAGTGTTTGATTTTGCAAAGGGACACATTTCTGTTTAGCCAAAGTGAGCAGAGATGCCTCGTACTTGTGTGAACAGTGCAGATAACTTCTGCTATGTTTGCGATGAAGTGACTTTTGCATCACAAAAGCGCAGTATAACCTCGTTGGTTATGCACTCCTGCCTTTCGTTATTTGGAAAGGGATTTCAAAGATTGAACGAGAGCC